ATTCCAGGTGCCTGAGATGAGTGTGATGGTTAAACGTACGAGTATATGAGACGACGTTAAACAGAATAAAATGGCATTTGAGTGAAATGTGGATTGAGAATCGCGACAAGGCCGAGAAATCCACGTCTCTCACATTGCCATATATATTATTTAACTGTTGTCGCATTTGCCGATTGCCGATTGCCGTTCTCATGAATCTCATCTCATCACTCGTTTACATCTGAGACTGACAATACTGGGAAAGTAGACCATGCAACACAGGCGCCTCAAAAGAGTCCAAGATTTGAGGAGAATCCGGCACCCTGTCCCGTCTCATATCACATCGCCATCACTGGCAAGCATCTGTAAACACCACATACCACGACCTACGTGGACAATTAGTTAAATAGAATAAAGATGCAAAGTAACGATTCCTTTTTTGACGCCTTGCCTGGTAGTGAAACGAGCAAAGAAAAGAAGACGAAGAAACAGAAAGCCAACAATGCTGCCGGGGCAAAATGGTGACAAGCAAAAAGCCTGGCAAATAAACAAGGTTTTGCCAAAACAAATAACGCCAGTTGTTCTCCAAAGAACTGATATCTCGTCGTTCCATCCCGAGCCGCGTATGTGTCGCCCCCCGCTATCAAGGCATTGGCCACTGCCGTGTACACGATCTGCGTCGGGGCGACTGGTAAGCAGTTGTAACGGCCGCGGCAACTGTTGTATTCCGGGCGGCCGCCCCGTTCGTGTCGTTGATCGCGCCCGTGGCTGCTCCGCCGTGGGTTCGGCTCAACTCGTTCGCTCGCCCGCACACCGTCCGTTTGTATGTTGTCCCCCGTCGCGTCTAGTCCTCCATTTTCGTATCCTTGTCGTCGCCGCGAATCCACAGCACGTTGTTGCACCTGCTTGTTAGCGTTGCTCCTCCGTATGGACAAAGGGAGGGGGTCTGCTTACCGAATGAGAACCTGGCCCAGCTGGCCAGTGCTCTCGCCGTCAATGTACTCCTCCGTGTCGGACAGCTGCAGGTTCATGTAGCTGTCAATCGACACGAGCGCGCCCTTGTATTCCGTCTCGCCCCACTTGAGCCGCACGGCGACCGGCTTGCCTACGAGCTCCTGGAGCATCGGGCGGGGGTTGACGGGCATGAAGCTCATGGCGGCGGTGGCGAAGGCGAAGGCAGATGGGCGGTGTGAATAGAAAGGTGTCGGTGTGGTCGTGCCTGAAGGTGAGGATGCTTCCGTTTTTGCGCCGAACGGGGTATTATGCAACGACGCGATGTTGGCAATTGGAGCACAGGCCGATATTTTTCTTGGGACAAAAAGTGGGACCGTCCGTAGTCGAACCTAACTGCTGGTTTTGTATTGTCACCTGGCAGAGAGTTCGTGGCAGCTGACATAAGCTGTCAACTCTACAGAACCGTGCTTGTCGGTGTTCTGGTGGAGATCACCAAAAGAAGGTGGGGGGAGGCGCCATGGAGAGCTTGAGGGCGTGTGAGCGCAATGGGTCCTGCCAAAATAGTGTTGACCCCTCCCCCGCCAAACACTTTCCGCGCAGCCGACCACAGGTGAAGAAGGAAGGCGCCAACCAGCCAAGTTCCCAACAAAATGGAGCTCATATGACAGAAGTAGCGCGCTGGCCAAGGAATGCGAAAAGGCCGCAAATAGGAGGCTTTACAGCGACGGTTTCTACGACACATTTTGTATGCTTAAGCTATGGTAATGCATTCGAGGAAAGTTCTTGATGTCGGATGGACCCCGAACAGCCAAGGCAAATGCTCCGCAAAACGCTTCAGCATTTGTTACAGAGCTCGTCGGCTGGTTGGCATGGGCCTCTTTTCCGGTTTGATTGCATCTTCAGTATGCCCATACTGGCCTATTGTCCAGAAATACTGTATCTAATGGACACATTTACGTTTGTTTATATCTAAACAGCTTATCAAGCAGGACGCAGGCAACGTATATACATACGTGACAGCTGTGGGGAGCTGAATAAGAACAGAGGTAGTAACACAGGAAGACGACTTGCCATTGGAGGCAGGAGCCAGGGGCACAGAATGCCATAGTTGGACGAATTGACCAAAATTGACCAACTAGTAAGGAATTGTAAGACGTGACGAAGCCGTGGAAAGAACGAACATCCGACGCGTCAGTAATTACAATATAAGATGAGAGCATGCGTAGAAGAGGCTGCCAAAGCTTCCGTTTACGAATTTGCTAAGCAATGACAATTCTGACAAAACGGTAGCCTTTTGGTTTTATCCGGAAATTTTTATCGGGTCATCCGTAGCATGGAAGTCGCGGGACGAGGCGCGCAGTGTGTTTGGGGGCGTGGGCGCATTGGGTGGAATGGGTGGTCGGCTTGCCTCTGATCGCTCTTGCCCCAGCGAGACAGCACACGGCATACCGTAACAGCTACTTCCGGTCGCGGTGGACATCTTCGGACTCAATTCGGAAGTCTGAAATTACGAGCACTGGGGCGCTCTTTCCCCCAGGGGACAGACAGCACCAACGTGAACACAAAGAGAAATGTCACCTGTTTTCTGTTTCTGTTCTGCCGCGGAAAAGGCAGTTGCAAACTCCAATTTTGGAGAAAGAGCTCAAACGGTGCAGGTCAGAAGGTGCATTGCCCTGGTGCCGTCTCATAGAAAACCAGAAGGCGAGCCGGAAGGCAAGACAAGAGAGGGGCAAATTCCATGACGCCCATCGCCCCTCCTTTTTTCTGCGACACCACCCTCGTCCCGATACGGCAACAGCGTGAGAGAAATAATCCAGCGACCGGAGGAAACAGCGACGGTTATATTACCCACCAGCGCAAGGCCAAGCTCGTGAGCTTTTCCCAGGCCTTCCTTCTCTTTTCTTTCATTCCTCTTTTGTTTTTGTTCTTTCCCTCTTTCTTCCTTGTTTTTCTTTCTCATCCAAGATCCAACAATCACGAACTTTTCCCCAAGTTTCTCTCCCACCGCCACAATTCCTCCCACGATTCACAATGTCTAGCTCTCTTGACCAGCTTAAGGCCGCTGGCACGGTAAGCAACAGCATCACCTTCAATTTTCCACTATCGCCACCATGGTCGTAGCTGTGCTCTATCGACACCAATTCCTCCCGGGAAAATAGGGAAGCATGGCAGACGCCTCCTGGTGGTTGGAGCTTCAGCTTGATCGGCAATGCTTCTGTCGGGCCTCTCTTTTTGTCTTTTGTGAGAGCTTCCAAGCTAACCGAAGTCTTTTACTTGTGGGCATAGGTCGTCGTCTCCGACTCTGGTAGGTTGCGTCCCTCTATCCTGTTCTGCCGTTGGCTCTGATGTCATTTTATGTCGCAATTGGCTAACAACACTCATCTCTAGGTGACTTTGCTTGTTCGTGTCTCCCGTACCTATAATGCGCAATTGATATTTCCACAACACAGGACGCTTTGAACTCACACTCTTCTCGCAGCCATTGCCAAGTACAAGCCCCAGGATGCCACCACCAACCCCTCGCTGATTCTGGCCGCCTCCAAGAAGGCCGAGTACGCCAAGCTGATTGACGAGGCTGTTGCCATCGGCAAGAAGCAGGCGGGCAGTCTCGACGAGAAGGTCGATGCGACCCTCGACGCCATCCTGGTCGCGTTCGGCCGTGAGATCCTGAAGATCGTCCCCGGCCGTGTTTCCACCGAAGTTGACGCCCGCCTGTCCTTCGACACCAAGGCCTCCGTCGACAAGGCCCTGCACATCATTGACGTGCGTACACGCTTTGAGCGTTGCCTTTTGAGATTTGAGATTTGAGATTTGACTTGACCTCGAGGCGACAAAGGCTAACATATCTCGTCGCTGCAGCTGTACAAGGCCCAGGGCATCTCCAAGGACCGTGTCCTGATCAAGGTTGCCTCCACCTGGGAGGGTATCAAGGCCGCCGAGATCCTGCAGCGCGACCACGGCGTTAACACCAACCTGACGCTCATGTTCTCGCTGCCCCAGGCTATTGCCGCCGCCGAGGCCGGTGCTTTCCTGATCTCGCCCTTCGTTGGCCGTATCCTCGACTGGTACAAGGCCTCGACCGGCAAGACCTACTCCAAGGAGGAGGACCCGGGTGTCGCGTCCGTCCAGGCCATCTTCAACTACTACAAGAAGTACGGCTACAAGACCATCGTCATGGGCGCGTCGTTCCGCAACACCGGCGAGATCACCGAGCTGGCTGGCTGCGACTACCTGACCATCTCCCCCGCTCTGCTCGAGGAGCTCCTCAACTCCAACGAGGCTGTCCCCAAGAAGCTGGACGCCGCCGGTGCCGCCTCCCTCGACATCCCCAAGAAGACCTACATCTCCGACGAGGCCACCTTCCGCTTCGACTTCAACGAGGAGCAGATGGCCGTCGAGAAGCTGCGCGAGGGCATCAGCAAGTTCGCCGCTGACGCCGAGACGCTCAAGGGAATCATCAAGACCAAGCTGAGCGAATAAACGTGACGGCCTGACTTATGTTGGCGGTTTCTGAGTAGATGTGGTGACAGAAACGGGCGAGGCGGCGGAATATACACATACCAAAAAAATTGGAACACGGTATGTTCGGTACATACATTACATAACCCAAAATAAAGACTGGAATGGAACATAACCAAGGCGGCGAACAAAGGCGTCATCGTCTTGTAAATTGCCGAGAGAACGTTACGTAGAGCCCAGCCCTTTTGGTCTCTAGAGGGGTTTCATTCAAAAGGTACAAAGAAAAAAAAAAGTAGACTGTAAATATCCTGAAAATCCAACCCCAACGCCGAATATACAACATTAATAGCAACAAAAAAACCCGTAAGTGTCTGGTATTTGTCGAGATGCACGGTGGTCGTCGACTCTTTGAGAATATGTAGCCGAAAGAAAGCGGCCATTCCTGAGAAGACTCAATCAGGAAGTCGACAAATAAACAATATAGGCAAAAACAATGATGGCAAGATGCCACACATAAACGCGGGGGTATGCTGCTTTCGAGAAAAGGCCATCCAATGCTGAAATGTAACGAAAAAGGAGAGGTGGACGCAATTTGAGCAAGGTGCTCTCTAATCGGCATACTTCTTGGGCGCAATGGCTGGGCATGGCACCTGCTCGATGTGGTGCTTGACCACGCCGTCCTTGTCTGCCTCCACGACCAGCGCCGTCAGCTTGCCGCCGTAGACGGCGCCCGAGTCCAGGCCAAACGTGTATCCCGTGTCCTCCTCGGTAATCACGCTGCCACTGTTGGCGCCACTACTGCTGCTGCTGCTGCTGCTGAAGAGACTGAACAGGCCTGAAGGCACGGTCTCGGGCAGCAACAGGCCCGTGATGGCGTCGTGGCCGTAGACGACGGTCGTGCGGTTCGCCGGGTCCGCAATGGCGTGCTGCGCCTGGTTCCACACCGCCGCCCAGTGCACGCGATCCGTGCCTTCGCGGAAGTGGCCCTCAATGGGCAGCATGACCAGATCGGCCGGCTCGGGGTGGCCGTCGCCGGCACAGCTGCGGCGCGGTGTGCTACCGACCGGGCTGGGCCGGCGGGGGTGGTGCGGGTCGGCACCGTACGCAAGCTTCTGCAGGCGGTGGTACTCGGCCTCGATGCGGCCGTGGGGCACGCTGATGTGGTCGGTGTTCCTGAGGCGGCCGCGGGCCTTGGAGCGCACCCGCGCCTCGGCGATCAGGTGGGCGCGCTCGTGCCGCACCTCGTCGGCCGGGTGCACGAGGCTGCGCATCACCATGACGGCATAGGGGTCCTGCTGCTCGAGGGGCACGTCCGGCACGAGCCCGGCGTGGACGACGACCACTTCGTTGTTGGCAAAGGGCGACTTCGCGTTGGCCTGCTGTGCGGCGGCCGAGAGGGAGACGGCGGCGGACGGCGCAATGGAGCCGAGTCGCAGGATGACGGGCCGCTCCGAGAGCCATTGGGCCTGCTCGTGCGTCAGGGTGGCGGCGGTGGCGCGCTCGGCCGAGTCACCGTGCGAAAAGGGGTTCTGCTCGAGTGGGTCGATGTTGAGCTCGGTGACCGCCTTGTCGTGGTCAATAGTGTCCTCCTCGCTCTCGTGATTCTTCTTGAGGCCCAAGAGTGCCAGAATGCCCTTGCCCTTCTTGGCATTCTCCTCTTTGAGGTCCATCTCCCGTTGCAGAGCAGCTTCGGCGCGCTCGATTTTTCCCTCGGCTTCAATGCTGGCCAGAGCCACAAGACGCGTCCGCTCGGCTTCCGCTTCGGTCTCGCCCTCGTTCACGGTCTCAGTTTCAGTGGTGTCGACGATCCCGGCAGGCGCCTTCTTTGGCTTGACCAGTGGCGGTTGGTATGCATCGGACGCGTGGAGCGATTGGTAGGCCACGAGCACACGGTCCTCATGGTTGCCGCGCACAGCGCTGGCGTCCAGCTCCATGGCCAGCTGCACAACGCCGGCGCTGTCGGGTCCCTTGTTGATCAGGTCACCGACAAGGATGAGGTGGTCGTTGCCAACCTTAAAATCGATCTTATCGAGCAGCTCCTCGAGCGGCTTGCGCTGGCCGTGCACGTCGCCGACAAAGACAAAGCGGCGGCGGCGCAAGAGGCCTGCGGGCGTGGAAAGCGTGGGGACACCGCCCTCATCCTTGCCGTCAACAATCAGCTCAACGGGCAGGTCGGCAATGACGTTGGTGAGGCCCTTGATGGGCGGGCGGGCGGTGGTGCCGTACTCCATAGCATCCATCGGTTTTTCCAGAAGCTCAGCGAGCGTGAGCTTCCTCGGCTTCGCGGGCTCCTCCTCCACCTTGTTCTTGTCCTTGGCCTTGGCCTTTTTGCTTGTCTTTGCGTCGTACTCTCTCTGGGCTGTCAGTTGGGTCTCCGTCTTCAGCGCATTCGGGATGTCTCCAAATGCTGCTGCCTCAGCCTTTTCTTCGGCCTCTTCTGCGGCCTCTTCGTCTTCGAGGTCAGTGTCGGAAGGGAGATTGGCGTCGGTCGTTCTGCCGGTGCCTCCTGCTGCTAAACCGGATTGTTTCTGGATTTTCCCTCCGAATATTATTTCGTCGCCTGCTATTAAGTCGTTGCCGGCTGGTGTCCCATGTCCTGCCGCTCCTGCTACGGGGTGGGCTCTGTGTTTTGCAGGGTCGACTTTGTCGGCTGGGGTGCTGGACGACATATACGGTGATGTCGCCTCATATTTAGACCGCTCGGGCGAGTAGGTCATGTAAAAGGTCAAGCATATGGCAAAGGTAAAAATAATTAGCAAACGCCGGCGCCGCCACCGCCCAAAAACGGGAACCACCATGCGGACAGAGCTTTGGAGGGGCTTGTAGCCCCAGTCGCTGTAACTGGCCACGGCTATGTTTAAGTGAAGCGCAATAGGATTGCCACAAACTGCGTCTCGCAATTTTGTCGTTCTATAAGTCGAAAGCCCCGTGGATGTCTTGAATGTCTCGAATGTCTCGTTAATGTCGTGTTGCGCTGGGGAATTGCTGGGCGCCGATGTATTACACTGCCCGTCGACTGCGGCCCTCGTCGAAATCGTTGTGCCCCGGGCAGGGAAAAGGAAAATACGGAAAGTTAAGCGGAAATCGAGATACGTTGAAATAGAGGCTGCGTTATCTGTCGGCCATTGAGATCTTGATTCTGTTCGGTTGGGACAAAAGTAGCGCCTGCGACTGATGGTTGTTGTTTTGGTTGACGTTGCGACGCAGTAGAATCGTGTTGATAGGGGCGGCCGATTCGTTGGTAGTGAACAATGTTGCAGATATGTAGCTCTTGTTTTGAAAGCTCGAAATATCTTCTGCACGATGCTGTCCACCTCTTTTTAGCAACAAAGGAAAGCACGCGACAATGGCCAGCTTGGTCTCGTGCGCACCTTCCAGATAGGAATCAGGCGTAAGATGTGGCGCCGGTCGTTAGATGCAGATAGCCATGCGGAGCAGGAAGGCGGGAAGATGAGATGAAGACCCCTGGAAGTGGTTTCCGTGTAAGCTGGAGAATAAATAAATTGGAAAGAGCGTTGGGCGAGCGTGAATACCATAACGACGAATAAACGAAAGAACAGAGAGAGATCGACAAGAAGGAGACAGGATGGCAAAAAGAACTAATCAGACTCCCGGGACGCAGAAAGAACGGGAATTAGCAAGAAACCAGAACAACACGCTGAACATAATGAACGCCCACGCATAGATCAAACTGCTAAGTACATGTAGGGCAGGGCAGGACGTGGAAAGGGAGGAACAGTGGGAAAATCGCCAAGATAAAGAAAGTGCCGCCAAGACTAAGGACTGTTTTGTTCAAAGTGTCGAGTTGGATGGTGTCAGGATTGCCACGGGAGAGTAGGCGGCAGGACCTCGCTGATTCTGACTTCTTTTGCTTCCTTATGTCTTTAGTTTCTGTTCTTTGCCCAGGAGCACGATGCTTGCTCCACGCTAACTTCTACCTCTTCCTTCGCCATGAAGTATTACAGCAAAATAGTCCTCCTGTATGAGCATTGTGATGTACTGTTCGCGTATCTTCCATACTGGCATGTTCTATACAAGTGACCAGTTCTTTTATATAGTTCTAGCGAGGCTGGCTGATCGTTCCGCCCAAGGCTAACCAGACTTTGCCAATGCCTGTTGTCTTGTCCTTCTGATGCCGTCTGCGATGGTTCGAAGTTGAAAGGAGCAAGGCGACACAAACGTAGCAGATGCAGCAGTTGCAGGCTGGCGCCCATTGTGTGTGTGCATTTACAACTTTGTTCGCTTGCAGGTTCGTTCTTTGTGACGGGGCAACAACTTGCCCGTTTCTACCAAGGAATGGCTCATTCTTGGCAGGCAGGGTTCTCTTTAGTGCGGGCAAGTTCCTGTCAGTCCCCATTGTTCCTTTTCCACCAACGGCCAACGCAACAGCGATCACCTCGAACCCCCCTCCACCTGGCCAAAAAAACGCGTACACACAAACGCTTTTTGGTGGAGATGTCGGCACTGTTACAGTGTTAAATTAAAGATTTCTTGCACTGAAAGACTGCTAGAACAATTTGTGTGTACGCCTTATTTTGTCCAGGGGGAGCCCCCTTACCTACGGGTTTCGCTAACGGACGGTTGACGCGGCATCAATTTGACGAGACGGAGTCCGGAGCAAAAGGCTAATTGTCCGACTTTTGTCAATACGGTGCATGACGTGGATACCTCTCTTGCCATAAGGCGGTTGCCCTTAGGCGCGTCCAAACTGCTCGCGTGCTCATCTGATGTTAGAGTTTTAAACTCTATTTTAAAATCGCAATGCAAAATCTTGTTTTGATATTCGCACGTAGTTTCGTATTACTGAGTAATTATACCCTTTTGCCACCTGGTGTTGGTTGGGCTTACCCACTCTGCTACCGTTTATCCCACTGGCGAAGTCGTTGATACACGCCGTCGTGTTTAATGCACTTAATGTTGGTTGTGCGTTCTATCTCGAGAACACATACAGCACCATTTCTGACTTGGGAAAAAGCATTCGAGAATGCCCGGGTATGAGTACAAGATATCCCTTCCTCTAATTTTCGCCTGCAGCTGCTTCGAACATTAAGTCTGTGATGCCGGTACGTACCGTGGCGAGCATGAGTGGATGGCTGCATGAGAAAGCAGATATTAAACATAGAAATTATATAATGTGGATCACTTACGTATGCGTGTGTCACTTTGGCCGTTCATATCCCGCGGGACGCAACCCTAGTTGCAATAATGTGGGGACAGAAACCGCCGGGGGCAAGTTTGAGGTCCCGTTTTTGAACAATGTAATGAAGCTCAAGGGAAGAGGTTAGCACATAGTTGGCCACTGAGCTATCTCTGACGACACACGCGAGCACTGATTTCGCCGTAGACCAAGAAGAGAAGGTGTGCGCGCGACAGTGACATTTGGTGGCTCTTTCGTTCCGCCAGCAGCCCACAACATGAGTCGCATTAATGGCGAGTTATTCCTGCGCCGCCAACGTCGTCTTTTGCTGGGAAGGAGTTTGATAACAAGAATATGGAATCGCCCTGATAGAGAGCGCTGCCGCTTGCAGCGTAATTACGTGTTTCGACAGTGTCCTCACAACGGACAAAGAGGGTAACTGGAAGGAAGAAAGAGTTGGTTACACCTTCTGTCCCTGCATTTAGTCTTCTGGGGACAGCCTCAATTTGCAGAGGCAAAGCAATCCTCTCTTCCCTGGAAACTTCGTCAAAGTCTCTAGGCCACTGCGCATCTCGATTTGACCGCCGGGATACAAACTACGAGGCGTACAACAAATGTACTTAGTATGCAAAAGCCAGTCGGCTGCAAGAACCTGGCATATCTGCGAGCCCCTCACAAAGTACAGCATACATCGTTGACCAACGGCCGTCCTCGACTGAGCCCTTGGGACGCTCCCGCCTGTTAGTTCCGCGTGGGGAGGCTAACCCTGGGTGCTGAGCAGGAAGTGATATTCCTGCCTGCAGACAGCAAAAGCAAGCAGCAAATTTGATCCTGTTGGATGTCAAAACGGGTATGCCAAGACGTGCAATTTATTTTATGCATTGTAGGCACCGAGATGCCTTGTACTGAGACTTGCACCAGGCAACAAATAACAACGGCGTTTACGACGTACGAAGGATGATGTAATTGAACGAAAAGCTGGATAAAGGGCGTATTTTTCATGCCTGGATCATCTCAAGGCTATAAAGCCGGAGGTTGAGACACAGTTGTCAGGCAATAGAACAAGGCTGGATCACGAAGACCCCTGTTTCTTAAACTGTGGCGTGGTTTGATCTCTCTTATTCGCATTCCTCCCCAACTGGCACTCAACGAACCTCGTATTTCCCGTTTGGAAGACGTGCATACATTGTAGAATACCTTTCCCATGACTAGTACCCCTTGCCCGAGACCCTGGCAGCTGGCGTCTTGTTCTCATTCTCGTGTCTGCTGCCATTCGACACATATTGTGTTAACGTGAAACAACCCCACGGCTTAACTTTTAGGTCCGGAGAATGCTGAAGGCCTCGTAACTAAACAACGGAGTAGCCAGCAGCCAAACAATACACATCCCCCCAACCCGTGAAGAGAAAAGATGGTATATTGAATCCCAGAGGTACTTTTATACACCCAAACTTTAAAATTTACCGAAACGCCCAGATAATGATAAATCCAACAACGCCGTGATGTGCTTGTGTCTCATGTGCAACAGCTTTCCACCCCCCATATTTGCAACGATTTGCCGCGTGCGTACCTCAAATATCGTGCAGCGGATCCTACAATCTTTGTCCACGTCCGTCGCTCTCTGTTGGTCATGGCTTCTTTGCGGCCAGCTCTTTCCGGTACTTTTCGTTTTCCAACTCGCGCCAATCAGGCGCCTCCTTCTCGTCGCCCGACGTCTCCTTGACGATGCCACCAAACGCCGTACGGCCAGCATACAGCTGGTAACCCTCTTTGTCCTTTTGTTCGCTTGGGGACGAGTCGTCGCGGTTCGTCTGCAGCATCTTGGCCGATGCCGGCTGGTTGCCGCGGAACCGCTTGCGCATGTCGATCATGCCGCGCCGACACTCGCCGAAACCTTTGCGGAGCTGCTGGCACTTGACCGGCAGCGTGTCGGACAGTGGTGGGCGGAGGCAGTCGGCTGCGGAGTTGCGGTAGACCATGACGCAGTCGGACTCTTGGAGGCACTGGGCCAGAGCGGCACCTGGAGTGCAAAGCTGTTAGCAGATTGCCGCCATTGGACAATGGAAGAGAAAACGCAGCCCGTGACATTCGCAACGTACGAATCTCTTTACATGAGCTCGGCATGGTGACTGAATGGCCTGTAGAGAGCCGCTATGCAAGTGTAGAGGTGGAATTGGTAAGTCGTCCGGAATCGTCGTTGCTCGATCACCAAGCAGAAAAAGCTGCCCACTAAAAAGATATGTAGCTTTTTCGTAGAGTTGTGCAGCGTCTGATTGGACAGCGACCGACGCCACGTGTGGCGCCTACTTATTTCGACTTCGGGTCGCTGTGCCTGCCTTCTGCACCTTTGGAAACTGCGCTAGTGAGAGTCCCTGTCGTCACTGTTCCTGCCATTCGCATGTGACATCACCCCTGGTGGTTGAGGTCCAGAACTTAATCCATCGCACCTTCCCGCTTGCACCGTGTCCTCGACTCCTTCTTGTCCTCAGCAATCAAACAACGACACCGACGCCGCACTACATCTTGTGATGTATCCCTTATTTACGCAACACATTTGATTTTTGGCCCTGCGCCGACTCT